CTTTAAGCAATGCACCTACTTATGAATATGATATTCTTTATGAAAATCAACGAGGGTAAGTTCTTGAAATATTTTCTCTTTTATTTTATTTATTAAAACTTTGACCCATCTTTTCTTTTTACGTGTAGGTTGTTTTGCTTTGGCTTACCTAAGTTCAGTTCTAATGCATTGAATCAAGCTGATCCTCAACCTTGGTCAGACAAACATCAAAAGTACTTGCAATTATTTATTTATAGACACTTCTGTCATTATATTCAATCATACTGATTGATATTAATGAAATACCCTTTTATATAAAGATTCTCTCCAATGGATATTTACACGTATCAATTACCAAATCCAACGTGGGAGTGGGTGCGTTGTAGGCAATTTGTAATCCATGCACAAATTTTAATGTCCATATATTCATTGATTTGCCTTTCAATTTTGTAGGTTCATAAAGAATGGATGGTGGATATGTCCGGCGACGTGGATGAAGGTGAGATCGTTCTTATTTTAGCTGAAAGTTAATATTGTTTAGGAATTTAATTCTTTATTTACAGAGGGGTGGGAGTATGCACCCGATTTCCATTTGTCCTGTTGGCACGGTACGTATCTAGTTTATCTTGACTAAAACATAGATTCATAGATTCATATTGTAACGTTTTCTTATTTTTAAATAGGTTGCTATCAACCATTCTGTTCATTTGTTCGTCGAAGGCGTTGGGTACGATTGCGTCGTCAGAAGGTAAAAAAGGGGTCACTCTTCAATAGAGATGATCAATTAGGAAATGATCAATCGTTGGATTTGTTTGATCGTGACCAACTATTTGAGAGTATGGTTAGTCGATAAATGATCAATCATTAAACACACCAGTTCTCATTCGTATCATATTTGCTACACGTTATTCGTGCGATTCAAATTTAAATACAAATAACTGTTTTGTCCAGACTAGTCAATGTGAATACGTATTTATTAAATAGTTTTAAGAATTTCTACAACTTATAATAATAATAATATTTATAAGTTATTATTTCCATGCTAATTCCGTAGTATTGATGTCGCTTTAAGTTAACTGACATTGCTTGCAATGTTTATGAAATTGTTCGTAATACAACTAAACCAGTGTTGGCATTGGACATATGTCCACCTAATTTTAGTACTATTGGACTGGACTGGACATTGGACATATACTTGGACATAATCCAGGTCCAATATGTCCAATCACCTATGACAACCCTAGCATTCCCTGAAAAAAAATACTGACACGTGACAATCGACCAATAGTTAATCACAATCTGGTGTAATATAGCACAATCAGGAAGATCCAAAACAAAGTGTTTTTTTTCAAAAGTCACTT